CCAAAAAAGCTTGCTAGAGGTAGACTTGCCTCTATCAAATGGGTCTTTACAGCAATGTTTTTGGTAAGTTTTTGTGTTTTACCCTCTGTACTACAAGCAGCAGCATGTTCGTGTTTCACTAATTGGTGTGGTGATTTTGATGCGAGAAGGTCGGCAGTCAAGACTCTTGGGTTCTGTGGGAGGTCAAGAAGGTTAAAGAATGAGCTAATGGGAACTAGGAGTCCTGGTTTCTTTTCCTGGCTTTGCTGCTGCCTCGCTCAACCCTGGTCCACACTTACGGGGAGATTGGCACTGCAGGGGTCGATAAGACCTGCTGAATCGAACGCTGATCGCGCTCCAGTCGACTCCGGTATTCCACCAGAGCGGGAACAGTAAGGGGAGCCGACGGGAGCATGTCTCAGGTTGAGACACAATGGTAACTCGAACCAAGTGAGTCAACTCCAGCTAAACTATTCACACAGCTGAAGTTGCATGAGTAGACCTGGCGTGAGTTAACTTACACATCTCTTCCTTACTGTCAGGGTGGTTAAACACTGGAATAAGTTGCCCAAGGAGGGTGTGGAATCTCCATCTCTAGAGATTTTTAGGAGCAGGTTAGATAGAGATCTATCAGGGATGGTCTAGACTAGTGGTTCTTAACCTTACTGCAGCCTGCACCCCTTTGGTTCTCAAAATATGTTCTTGCACCCCTTTTTAAAAATAGTTGAAGTAGGTCAGTTTTAAACCTAAGATATATCATAAAAATCTGGCATGTCTCGCACCCCCAGAAAGGGCATCTCTCACCGCCAGGAGGTGCGTGCACTCTAAGGGTATGTCTACACTACCACCCTAGTTCGAACTAGGGTGGTAGTGTAGACATACCCTGACTCTGTTTCCACATCCGTTAGGATAACATGATTCTAGAAAAGGGGTGAAAAGTGCTTATTGTTTGTATTTGACTTTCATGAACTGAAGAGCCTTTTTTTTTGTTTAAGGTGAAAGTGTTCCTGTAACAAAGACTAATCTCCCAAATCCTGCAGAACACCCCAAATCAGCGGGAGATGAAATATACAGTCCAGAAGCACATAAGCGACACACTTTGTTCTGTGGGACCAATGTCATTCAAACCCGTTTTTATACTGGAGAACTCGTCAAAGCCATAGTAGTGAGAACAGGTACACATTTTAAGTTTTCTCATTCATATAAACCATTTGATTTCAAAAGTAGAGCTGTCTGCTGCTTCCTACCTTTTTGTCAGTTTAGTTGTATTAAACAGATATTCCCTAAAACATTTCACAAAATTACTCTGAAAACTTTTAGGACGATGGTACTTGAGAATTCCTCGCTGGCTATTAATTTTTCAGCACTATTAACCATTAAAGTCAAGGGATTGAAAACATGCCCAGAAACATTTGCAGTACAGATTGAACCTCTCTAGTCCGGCACCCTTGGGACCTGCCTGGTGCCGAACCAGAGAATTTTGCCAAACCACGTAAGTTCAATATTGTCCAGCAGCATGACCAACACTTCCACTGCTGACTGGGCTCTTAGAAGACATAGTGGGGTAAATTAGAGCTAAATAGCAGCACAGAACATGGAGAGCCAGGGCTGGTGGTTGTAAAGAAATGTTAAGGGACCGTGGGAAACTTGGCTGCACCCGTGTGAAGTGGACATCTGACTGACTAAAAACCTGCCAGATTCTGCTGGACCAGAGTGTGCTGGACTAGAGAGGTTCAGAGTGTAGCATTAAACCCAATTTGTGGTGTTTTTCCGGAAGAGTGTGTCCTGCCTGTATCTTTGGTATTGGTTTTCCTTTTGGCTTCACTCGACTATGGAGAAAACCTGTCTCTAACGTTGAAGTAAATATATTTAAATGGCAGTGTGTGCCCACAAGTGGCAGTCACCTTCTTATATAGTTATTAGCTTTATTTATAACCCTGTGTTCCACCACATCAATAGTTTAATAGCTCTGTAACCCAGACTATTGTGAAATAGCATTTTAAAACTGCCCAGGATTCCTCCTACGTGTCTTGCAAGCCTATTTTTAGATACAGACCTGTGCATGGACCATAATCAGAGAGAGAAAACTTAGAACCCCAGCGCCTCCCCACCCTTCTAGGGAAATAGCTTTTCCTCATATCCAACCTAGACCTCCCCCTCTGCAACGTGAGCCCATTGCTCCTTGTTCTGCCACCTGCCCCCACTGAGAACAGCCTCTCTCCAGCCTCTTTGGAACCTCCCTTCAGGAAGTTGAAGGCTGCTCTCAAATCCCCCCTCGCTCTTCTCTTCTGCAGACTAAACAGACCCAACTCCCTCAGCCTCTCCTCCGTAGGTCATGTGCTCCAGCCCCCGAATCATTTTCATTGCCCCTCGCTGGAGTCTCTCCAATGCGTCCACATCCTTTCTGTAGTGGGGGGTCCCAGAACTGGCTGCAGTGCTCCAGATGTGGCCTCACCAAAGCCGAATAAAGGGGAATAATCACTTCTCTGGATCTGCTGGCAATGCTCCTCCCAATGCAGCCCAATATGCCATTTGCCTTCTTGGCTACAAGGGCACATCCAACTTTTCATCCAAAATCATCTATCCATGCATCTTACCCTGGTACTGGTGAAAAGTTGTGAGGCATTCAGTGACTTTCAACTCCTTTAGAAAGCTCGCCATGTTATTCAAGCGACATCCAGCTTTATCCCATTCTCAGTCTCAAGTAAGCCATAGAAAGGCCAGACTGTGGATGAAGTTATTGATCGCCAAGTTCAGATCAGAGCAATACTCCTGTCCTTACGTTGGTTGGGATAAGAACCGGGGCTAAGCAGAGCATCTGAATACACGCTTGAGAGGCTGAGCTTCACACCCTCGCTTCACCATCCCACAGACGTCCCTTCCTTTGTGTGCGCGTGGCAACCTCCTTCTTTCCACTCCACCCATTAATAATCTGGGACGTGCTCCCAGCGTCTCGCCCAGGGCCAGGGTGGCAGTTATATGTGACTTTGGAGAAGGGACTTGACATTGAAACTCTTCCTGGACAGTTTTTCTGTTTGCAGACAAGTAAAACAGTGCTGTAAGTTTGGGAGTACCTAGGGCTGGTGACCTGTGGTGTTATGGAGTCTGTCGCAGGCCGGTGCCTAGGTCTCCTCTTAAAAGAACGTTAACGCAAGATGAAAATGGCCATAAAGGAAACCAGGTGGTGTCACAGAAAACAAAAACCCAGGCCCACTAGAAGCCTATTAAGAATACTTATCTCCTGCACAAACCTGTTTCAGGCACCGAGGCGTCCTTTCATCCTCCACCTCTCACCGTAGCACATCTGTTGCCGCAGGTCTAGGTCACGTTCTGGGTTCTCCAGTCACGTGCTGACTTGAGCGTCAAAGTTTGAAGGGATTTTTCTCATGTCAGGCGCCAGCAGGGGGCAGCGAGGGGCATGTTGAGCTCCCAATTCAGGCCAGGGACCGGGTGCCAGAAAAAGAGCCGCATCCCCCCGCTGGTACGCAGCGAGTTGTTGAGACCCCGGGTGGATAATGGATGGCCAGAGTGTGTGATGGGGTTTCCATAAATCCCTCGGGAAGGACTCCTCTTCCATCCCCCGCTTGGAGAGAACTGCTTGGTACTCGGAGCGGGCGCTCTCTGGGCAGTCTCTTGGAAAGAGACCAGTGACTCGCCGTGCAGTAAGTGGGCTCCTCTGAGACGCGTTCGTGCTGATTCCATGGTCCCCTCCTTCCCCACTAATCCAGAGCCCTTCTCGCTGAAGGAACTGCGTGGCTGTTAAGGCCACCCTGCAGCTACAGTGGTCTCGAGTATTGGGGTGTAGACATGGCTCCAACAGGTACTGCTCTTTAAAAAGAATCCAGTCGCTTGTGCTTACAGCCCATGCACACCCAGAGTGGCGTTTGGGTGCACAATGTATCTGGGAGAACCTGTCACTGTAGGGTAGATAGCCATGCTGTGCCGGGTTGCAGCTAGCATATAAAGAATGTCTGCGAGTAACACTGATAACTACATTTGCTCTTCATCTTCTTGATGATTTGATGGAAGTCAGAGTTTGCAGATACAGCATGCTAAATAGGGTTAGCACTTGCAAAACCTGAGGATCAAAAGACTAGCTCAGGCTTTTACTCTTTCAAAGGCTTTTGGTGCATTGTGGGAGGAAGGAGAGCTCAGTGCTTTGAGCATTGCTAAACCCAGGGTTGTGAGTTCAGTCCTTGAGGGGGCCATTTAGGGATCTGGGGCAGATCTGTCAGGGATGGTACTTGGTCCTGCCAAGAGGGCAGGGGACTGGACTCAATGACCTATCAAGGTCCCTTCCTGTTCTATGAGACTGTGTCGCTGCTGCTGTTTGCACTTTTAATCTGATACATTGAAATCTCAATATAGGCTTTAGTACGTCGAAAGGACAGCTTGTTCGTTCTATACTATATCCAAAGCCAACTGACTTCAAGCTCTACAGAGATGCCTTCATGTTTCTGCTGTGTCTTGTGGTGGTGGCAGGTGCTGGCTTTCTTTACACGGTTGTCAATAGCATACTAAACAAGGTAAGGTTACCGCCCCTCTGTCGCCCTACTCTTGTATTTTAAAAGTAGAGGCTGATTGGTGTTTTGTATTTGCTTACTAGTCCTATTATTATTACTAGTCCTTTCTGCCAATATTTGTCTTGATTTTTAAATGGAACCTTTGTGGCTGTTATTGCTTTCCATTAAGGGTGTAGCAGGCACATGTATTGACAGGAATGTTCAGCAAGAAAGCAAAATTTAAGGGACCGTACTTTTCAAAGACACCATAATAGAGGCCCAATTTAAATGTATACCCCAAATTAAAAAACGAAGTAGAAGAACTAAAAAAGAGCCACTGTGGCTTAACAACCATGTAAAAGAAGCAGTGAGAGATAAAAAGACATCTTTTAAAAAATGGAAGTCCAATCCTAGTGAGGTAAATAGAAAGGAGCATAAACACTGCCAAATTAAGTGTAAAAATGTTGTAAGAAAAGCCAAAAAGGAGTTTGAAGAACAGCCAGCCAAAAACTCCAAAGGTAATAACAAAATGTTTTTAAGTCCATCAGAAGCAGGAAGCCTGCTAAACAACCAGTGGGGCCCCTGGACGATCCAGATACAAAAGGACACTTAAAGACGATAAAGTCATTGCGTAGAAACTAAATGAATTCTTTGCTTTAGTCTTCATGGCTGAGGCTTTTAGGAAGATTCCCAAACCCGACCCGTCCTTTATAGGTGACAAATCTGAGGACTTGTCACAGATTGAGGTGTCAGAGGAGGTTTTGGAACAAATTGATAAACTTAACAGTAACAAGTCACCGGGACCAGATGGCATTCACCCAAGAGTTCTGAAAGAACCCAAATGAGAAATTGCGTAACTATTAACTGTAGTTTGTAACCTATCCTTTAAATCAGCCTCTGTACCCAATGACTGGAAGATAGCTAATGTAACGCCAATATTTAAAAAGGGCCCTAGAGGCGATCCCGGCAATTACAGGGCAATTCCGGGCAAATTAGTTGAAACAATAGTAAAGAATAAAATTGTCAGACACATAGAAGAACGTAAGACCAAAGCAGACTGTGAAGAACTTCAAAAACATCTCACCAAACTAAGTGACTGGCAACAAAATGGCAAATAAAATTTAATGTGGATAAATGTAAAGTAATGCACATGGGGGGGAAAACCCCCCCAGCTATACATATATTACGATGGGGGCTAATTTAGCTACAACTAATCAGAAAAGAGATCTTGGAGTCATCATGGATAGTTCTCTGAAGACGTCCACACAGTATGCAGCGGCAGTCAGAAAAGCAAACAGGATGTGAGGAATCCTTAAAAAAGGGATAGATAATAAGATGGAGAATATCTTATTGCCCTTATATAAATCCATGGTACGCCCACATCTGGAATACTGCGTACAGATGTGGTCTCCTCATCTCAAAAAAGATATACTGGCATTAGAAAAGGTTCAGAGAAGAGCAACTAAAATGATTAGGGGTTTGGAACGGATCCCCTATGAGGAGAGGTTAAAGAGACAGGGACTTTTCATCTTGGAAAAGAGGAGCCTAAGGGGGGATATGATAGAGGTCTATAAAATCATGAGTGGTGTGGAGAAAGTGAATAAGGAAAAGTTATTTACTTGTTCCCATAATATAAGAACTAGGGGCCACTAAATGAAACTAATGGGCAGCAGGTTTAAAACAAATAAAAGGAAGTTCTTCACACAGTGCATGTCAATCTGTGGAACTCCTTGCCTGAGGAGGTTGTTTAGGCTAGGTTTAAAAGTGGGTTTAAATGGCTATTAGCCAGGCTGGGTAGGAATGGTGTCCCTAGCCTCTGTCTGTCAGAGGGTGGAGATGGATGGCAGGAGAGAGATCGCTTGATCAGTACCCTCTGGGGCACCAGGCATTGGCCACTGTGGGCAGACAGGATACTGGGCTGGATGGACCTTTGGTCTGACCCAGTCTGGCTGTTCTCATGTTGAAGGAAAGTGAAATCTGAATTTACAATCACAAGCATTTGCACCAGAAACCTGATTCTAGAGGTTACTGTGATGCAAAGGAGAAATAGGATACCATGTGACTTTCATAGCCAATCAAACCAAATTAGATATTGCTAAAATGTGTAGAAATGAGCTGCATACCAAGGGTCATTCACAGAAGTTTTTTGGTGAGATATAGAAAATGTCAATATATCAGATTTGTTGCACATGAGTCACTCACCTTTGACTTTTAACTAACGTATCACCCAAGAGATTGGGGGTTTACAAGCCGTGTTCCCTCCAATTCCCTCCAATTATTCAGCCCGCCCAGTGAGTCAGCTCCTAGCGAGGCTGATTAATCAGCTGTGAGGCTGGGCTGCCAGGCACCCTGGAGGGAACGCTGCTTACAGGTGTAAAACTGTCAGGATCGGATGGCTAGCATTGCAGCTTACCGCAGCTTTAACTTCCTGAGCGCAAGAGCGGCGGCAACCTGTGATAGCCCAGGAAGAGGTGGAAAGGAACGTCCTCTCTGAAAGCTGTGTCCAAAGCTACATTGAACTTGTGTATTAAGGGGAGACTGAATTTTATTCACTTAAGATTGTACATTCTTTAACTCTAGGTTCCTGCTCACACTATAATCATCGAGTCCCTGGATATCATAACCATCACTGTACCTCCTGCACTTCCTGCTGCCATGACGGCTGGGATCGTTTATGCCCAGAGACGGTTAAAAAAGATTGGTATCTTCTGCATCAGCCCTCAGAGGATAAATATCTGTGGCCAGTTGAATCTCGTGTGCTTCGATAAGGTGACGTTTAGGAATCGGCGCTAGTTACTGAAAGTCGCAGTAACAGCAGTGGCTGGAAGGGCATTAGTAATAATTATTTACGGGAGAACTTGTGAACCTGAGCTCTGTTCCAGTAGCTACAGGCCCTTGGTGCGTTCCTGGGTGGTAGACAATAAACAAACACAGCTCGTCCCTCCCCAACCGGAGTTCTCTGGCTCCTGCAGCTGAGAACCCCGGTAGTCTAGTGGCAGGAGGGTGATCCAGGAGGGTTGAAGCAGTGGGACAGGGCAGGAGTTGGCAGCAGCCCCCGACAGCCTGCAGCACTGGGGCCAGGTCAGGGAACCCCCCGCAGCGCAGAATTGGGCCAGCACCAGCCTGTGGAACGGCGGGCCAAGCCTGTG